ATACAAATTTTAGGTATTTTTTTTTTTTTTTTTTTAATTTGAAAATAAATTAGTCTTTAATAAAAATATATTTTTGATATTGTTGCATTTTCTCTTACAATAAAAGTAAAAACTTGGATTTACTAAATGTTATAAATAAATCCTTTTTTTTTTTAAGTTAGTATAATTTAATTTAAGATCATTTAAAATATATATTTTTTTTTATTTTGGTAATAAATGGATATTGTTTATCCACTGTTTATATAAAAAGAAAAATCCGGACTTTACCGTAAGCAAACTTTAAATCTATAAAAAGTGATAAATAAATGTTGTTTATCTAATGCCATATCATAAAAAAATGAATATTCTTTGTTTATTTAAACAAAATAAAATAAACATTTGTATAAGTTAATCATTTTTTCAACTGTACTAAATAATATAATTTTTCTACATTAAATGCTATATAAAGTAACTAAGCAACAAAGCTAATCGATTCGAACATTCGGACAGGGCATCTCATAGTGTAACACCATTCATTTTATTTGGTTTAAAATTTAAACAACCAAAATTTGAGGTGAATATTGCATTTTTGTGGCGTTGACATTTTGCATATCAGGTTCTTCAATTTGCAACTTGGCATATTTAATGACAATATATAACTGGAAAGTTCAAGCTTGTTTACAGAGAGAGAGAGAGAGTCCTGCAAGCGAGAATGAGAGAGATATTTGTGAAATTCTAATCCTGCCTGGGGGCGTCTCACTTACATTTTTAAGTGTTTTAACCTAATTAAATACAAACTAAGAGACGCGTTTACCGAGACCACGCCCCACCTGACCCGATGGTATGGGGTAGACACACATTAGCATAATTTCATTTTGCCGCACCTGACACCCATCGCCCTCACCACATCCTTCACAATGAACCGCAGCCAAGCCCCAAAAATCGTCTGTGCTTCATAACTGTAGCTGTTATTCGAGATTTTCAGCTATTTTTATGCAAAGTGGCAACGCCAGGATATTTTACGTAACTGATAATAACGTTGATTTTTGGGCAAATGTAATGCACAAAAGCACTCGCTTCAACAACAACAACATTAACAATCGAAATTAAATCGTTCCAAATTGTTTTCGGCTAATGAGTTGGCTATCGTTGCGGCTATATAGAATTTGATAGGAAATTGAAAGGGTAAGAGTCATTACGGTGCACATACACACACGCACACGCTTCGATTACTCCAAGCAAGCGTGCGTGTGTCTGTGTGGAACAGTTGGAAATTGATAGCGCATAGAATGAAGGCAGATGCAGAGACAAGCGAAAGAGACGATTGCAGCGATCGCTTAATCATCTGGSAGTAGAGCAGAAGCACGCGCTGCTTCAATTCTATTTGTATACAATCATGTTTTATCGCTTCCAGTGAGAAAGAGAGAGGAAGTGAGAGAGAGTGGTAGAGCGGTAGAATGAGAAAGCAACTGTGCGTATATATTGTTTGCATTAATCATTTTAATGGGGGCGGCACTGTGAGCCATGGACAATGCATAAACAAGGCTTAGACTAATTTCTGTGCAAAAAAAAAAAAAAAAAAAAAAAACTATCATAGGCTTGCAAAAAAAAAAACAAAAACAAAAACAAAAAAAACACACACATATACATGCGTGCAAAAACCAGCTGAATCAACAGCAAAAGCAATTAGGAAATGAGCCCCACAGGTCCCGCACTCAATCTTTCTGTCTCTTTCCTCCCGCTTGACACACACATGTGTCTCAACATCAGCGTTGACTGAGAGGGAAAAGCTTTCGCCAGAAAATGCACAGAAATAACAACAAAATTGATCATTGAAATGAGGCCAACAAAAAATATTGTAACGGTGTTACGACAACGACAACAATATAGCAAAGATAGAAACGACGAAAACGCACAGAAAAAAAACTGGAAATAGCTTGAGAAGTGCAATTCATCAAAAGTAAACTCCTAAAATACCGGCACGTATCGAAGTATGTATGACATACATACACGCACACACACACACAAACATACAAATTACATCTATGCATAGGATTGCATACATTTATGCTCGTTCATCTGACTTTTGCGATTACCCAAACCCATACATACATACATGCATGCATGCTTAGTATAAATGTGCTGAATTGCAAGTGTTGCCAGAAGTCGAAACTGTAAACAACATTTTAAAAGTGATTGACAACAAGCGTCAACAGGGAGCTGAGGGTAGGTGTTGCCGCCTATTGTTATGCTTTTTTTCTGCCTTTTGTTGTTGTTGTTGTTGTTGTTGTTTTGTATTGTTGCTTACTTTACATAACGGTTTTTTGCAATGGTCACTGGGAGGACGGAGTGAAGGAAATTATGAGCATTTGTACAGACATACATATGTATGCATGCTTTTTTTTTATCTATTATTTTTGTTACTTTTTCAGCTAAGCATTAACAAATGGCAGTTTAAATACATACACATGTACGTATTATTTTATACACACAGATAAATGGACGTGGCTCACTTTTCAAGTGCAAATCATTTTTAACATATTTTCGCGGCTTTTGGAGAAGGTCAAAATACTTCAAAAAGCAGCTTCAACAATACAAAAAAAAAAATTAATAAAAATTAAAACAATACACCCACACACACACACAGTAACGAAATATATGTATGTACTTATTGAAATACAAGCCGAAATAAATACATACATATATAGACGGCACACTCAAAAGGCTGAACAACTTCTAAACAAATTATGCATAGACGTACATACGTACATATACAGTTGTTCATATATTTGCTGGTCGTGCTGTATGTGAAGCATGAACATAAATAAATAAACAGAATTATAGCAAAACGCACGCGAGGCGTATAAATGTGGGCATGGGTGTATGGTGAATACATATGCATATATGTATGTGCATATGCCAGTATGGATGTGTGCATGTATATGTGCAGACACCCATGCAAGGTGGTAACGCTGCGCACAGAGAAAGATAGAGCGAAAGAGCAAGAGAGCATCAGCAGCAGACGTTGTGAAGTTTGAATTGGAAGATACAAGGTTACAACAACAAGACAACAAAGCAGCTGATGTGGTAGGAAATGGGCATATGAAAGTGTAAACGAAACGCAGAGAATTTTCTCCAATTGGAATAACTGTTGGCTGCTGGCACTTGTTGTTGTTGTTGTCGCTATTGTTATCTGATAATAATATAGGGCTATAATAAAGAGGCAATCCAATAATGTTAAAGGGACAAACAATAAAAAGTGAATATACATCTGTATAAATGAGAGCAAAAACGAAGTACAACTAGAAAGTTTTTTATTTATTGCTATTTGATGACGTTTTATAGACTCGGACACACATATAAACAATATATTTATCGGTGTGTAGGTATACACACTATCTATGTATGTGAGTGTAAATAGTAAACACACCTGCTTCAGCACTCACCGTTATTGCTTCTTATTGGTATTCTAAGCGAAGATGGCGAATTTTTCAGGCGAAGACGACGAGCGAAGCGACGTCGTCGTTCCAATCAGACGTGCATTAAACTGCCATGAAAGAGTTGTAATTGCTGGACAACGACGATGACGACTTTTTATTTAATTTCACTTCAAATTTTGACGAGACCGACTTTTATTTGCTGTAAACGTCACTTCTTCGGTTTGTCCGCAGACACTGGCACACACATACATACAAACACACACACACGATTCGTTTTCTGGTTGGAGTAAGTTTTCAATTGGTATTTGCTAAGCGGCAATGGATTTGCTTTGAATGCACTATCGCGTGTATCGTTAGCTATGTGGCTGTTGTGAAAAAAATACAAAACAAAAAACAATATCATTCACAATCTTTAAATTAGATTTCTTTGGCGTTCGAGTTTTTGATGTTTGCTGAATTTATAAACTGAGCTTCCAGTGTGACTGCACTCTGCGAACAGTGTGACCACAGTTAACTAGCAATCAAATGCCATACAAAATACGGAATCCATTTAACATTTCAACACGATGAACTAACAGTTTTTTTAGCTTCGATATTGACATAGGCGCATATCGATAAATGAAATAATTACTGAAAAACTAATAAAATAATATGAATAAATAGATTTTTGGTTGTATATATGTGTAATTCACGGTCTCTGCATCGATGTTCATCGTATGGTAGTATCCATAATGCATCCTCCCTTAAGGAGTTGTCAAATATCGCCACAAAGGCTTTGAGGGTGGTTATCGCTTACGATACCTTATCGCATTTGCTGTTTATCCCTCGGAGCATTTTAAGTTGTCATAAACTGGAACATATTATTTATTCCGAAAAATCTAGGACATATAAAAAACAGCAAGATGCCAGAAACTGAACACTTGCCCGAAGGATGGGAAAAACGCACCAGCCGCTCAACTGGTAAGGATAAACCAAAACTAAAAATTCCTGTAAAACTCCATTTGCAACCGGTAATTTTTCGCTTTTCAATGCGCAAATATATATGTGCTCTCCAGGTATGAGCTACTATCTCAACGTGCACACAAAAGAGTCCCAGTGGGACCAGCCAACCGAGCCGGCGAAAAAGGGGGGCAATGGCGCCTCAGGTGATGCCCCCAACGAGGTGCAGTGCCTCCATTTGCTGGTCAAACACAAAGGCAGCCGACGGCCTAGCTCCTGGCGCGAAGAGAACATCACACGCACCAAAGAAGAGGCCCAAATGCTGCTCGAAATCTATCGCAATAAAATTGTCAACAATGAGGCGACATTTGAGGAACTAGCGCGTTCCTATTCCGATTGCAGCTCTGCCAAGCGAGGCGGTGACCTGGGCAAATTCGGACGGGGTTAGTCTGGAATGAGATTCCATTTCAATGAATCACTTTCTTAACCCTTTCGAATCCTTGATTAGGTCAAATGCAGGCGCCGTTCGAGAAGGCCGCCTTCGCCTTGAAGGTGGGACAATTATCGGACATTGTTGACACAGACTCCGGCCTGCACATCATTCTCCGGAAATCATAGAGCAAATCAACGGATAACATGTAGAGGACACGGAATTAACTTATTACAAATTAAGCGAAATTAAAGCGCTTGAATGAAAATCCACTCTTATAGAGTATTTTCATTCGCATTGCCCTAAATATCTCTTAAATTCCCATTCAAATTGTTAGATCTTTCCTCTGCTTTGTTAATAAATAAGACAATATATAAATATCGTTCATCTCTGCCAAGTACGAAACTTCTAAGCATTAAGTTTTATTAACCGAATTTATAATGGATCTATAAGAGACCCAACCACAAAAAGAAATTTAAATTGTTTCTTAAAGACGCCATTTTTTCCTTTCTTTATATGAAAATCTCACCTTTGCGATTTTCACCACCCAAAATGTATTTCTTATAACCTTAAATATAAACAAATGCGATTTTTCCAACAAGAGAAATTTGGACTACATTACTTTTCTTATAAGCTTTTTCTATGCGATTCTCATTATATACAATATATACATATGTATGTATATGTATATGCCGTAGCGCTATTATTCTCGTCTCCATTATAACTCTACACAAAAATGCATTCTCGTTGTTGTTCGGCTCATTCGCTAAACAGTCTCCAGCCAACTCCCTGTTCTTCACTTCTGATTGCTTTCACCCTGACTTATCGAAATCATTGCAACCCTCGGCCCACTCACTCAACAACAACCGGGTCCAAGTTCAGCAACAGCTATGGTAATACATCCTTCTTCAATTGCCATTAAGATGATAACTCACTCGAGATATATAT